CTAATTGCAGCCCACTGAGACTCAGCAGTAATTAATTAACCTAAGTAAGTGTGTCCATTAAAATCTACTATCTGCTTCTAATGGTACTTGAGAAGATATTTGGAAGTAAATATGTTCTCCTGGGTGGAATACTTTGTAAGAAAAATTTGTGAGAACGACTCACTCACTTGAGCTTTATATAAATTCCTGGATCAGTGAATTTTAAATCCTTGACCCTTGCCTATGGAAATCTGGCAGATGTCCCAAATCCTGACACAGATCTTTCCCTGATTCTAGGGACATTTCCTTGCTCTGCATTCTTGTAACAATTTGTATATGCCACTCATTGCATTTTATCTTGAATGGATTAAAACAGAATGAACTCTCCTCACTCTTACAGTAGACCTTTAACTGTGTGTGTGTGTTTGCCTGCTACCCTAACCACACATTTCTTATGGCGATACATCCTTGTACTTCTTTATTTCCTTCCCCCTATCTTTACCGTACATTTATTCACAAATACTTAAATATCTACTAAGTATCAGGGACATTACTAGGATCTGGATATATAGGGAGGGATAAGCATGGGGTTTAAAAACAAATATAATTACAATAAAATAACTCTGGATACAAATATGAGGGGGGACCAAAAAAACCCCCAGAATTTATTTGTAAAATATTGTGTATTTATTCTTACATGTTTAAACTTTAGTCACCTTCAAAGTACTCTCCATTTGATGCAAAACACCTATCGAGACATTTTTTCCACTGCACAAAAACAGTTTTTAAACTCATCAATTTGATGCCTTTTAGTGCTTGTGTTATTTTTTGTTGCATCTCTTCCACATCAGCAAATCGATTCCCTTTGAGGACTTTTTTCTTCCAGGGAAACAAACAAAAAGTCACTTGGGTGAGATTGGGTGGATAGGGAGGGTGGGGCACAGAGGGTCATGCTGTTTTTGGTCAAAAACTGCTGAGGACTCAATGCAGTATGGGCAGCTGTGCTTGTAAATCACTCATCATGAAATGGGCAAACACGTTGAAAGAGTCTTCAAAAAGAAATCACTGAAGCTGAACGCAACCTCTCACAACAACGCCAGCTGGTACACTGATATAGATGGGTTTCTGAACACTCGCCTAGTGGGAGAAGCCTGTATGTACTACAAGGAGCCCCCCCTCCAGAAGATCGTTTCATTTTTTAGAGGGTACCCCCTTGTATGGTGTCACTAATGTTCACTGTATTCTATTTTTATAGCAACAGATTTTGTAAGTTTTTTAAGTTTTAGCATTTGTACTTCCTAATCCTTTTCCTTATTCACAATTATTCTATAGACTTTAGTGGTAAAGTCAAATTATATTCTCTATATGTTTATAAGTCAAACTGACACCAAAGGTACAACTAAACTGACAAATTTCAGCACTAATATTGATATGTAAACGTAGGGAGAATATAGTTGTCTTAGCACGGCCAATGGGCAGTTTTTAAGGAAAAGGCATCATGTATCTTCCTGGGGCAGCCCACACATTTTCAGAACACAGATTAAAATCCCATTGTGTGGAGGAAATGAAGAGGCAAAAGATAACAGAAATAATTTTTATTAGAATTCTCACTGAAAAACAATTTAGAAAACCAGTGAAAATGAGCATAGATCAAAAGTGAGTATTAAAAAGAGTTCAAGGAAAACCACACATACAGAAAACGGTAAAGGTATTCATCGGCAAATCGTCAACATGAAAACAGTTCAAGTTTAAAAAAATAAATAATTAATCCAACTGAGATATTTAAGGCACATATAGAAAGAACTTGCAACTAGACATTCTTTTCTTTCCGAAAGATGCCATTATTAGACTAACATCAGAAGGCAGGGGAGGGCAAGAGAAAGGGAGAGAAGGGAATGGGAGAGGGAAGACAGAGAGGAAGGGAGAGAACCAGTATTTCATGAGTTTTCTTTTATTAAAAAAACATGTTAAATAATTTGTTAGGCACTGTATGCATTACTTCATTTAATTCTTACAACAACTTTGCAAAGTGTATCACTCCTACCCAACTTAAAGATAAAGAGGCTCCTCACAAAGTTTAAATGACTTGCCCAGGTCAGGAGGTTGGGAGTGGCCGAGAGATTAGAACCCACCTCCACTGTCTCCTCTAAAGCCCTCCTGCTGTCCTCTGACAGCAGGTGTTTCCAGACTACACTATTCCTGTAAGTGGAAAACAACGCTCAGTGGATTCATGGACCCCAGGAGGTATTGATTTAGCACATCCAATGTATACCTTTCCTGAGCTTGGGAGTAGAGCAATCTGGACCACATTTCCAAGAGGGCAAGTCTCATTAGACCATTCCTTCTCTGTTTCGGAAGAAAGATCACAACAGGAGAAAGTAGGCATAGGAGGGCTTAATGCTGCCTACCAGATCAGTAGGCAATTCAGTTTTTCTAGAGCATGTTCATTAATAGAAAACAGAGAAACAATGTATGATAAAGAGAAATGTGCAAACCCAAATGTGCATGTAAATCAATGATTACAAAGATGAATCAACTCTTGTAACCTAGATTCCTTAGCTGTCAAAACCTAGGGATAAAGAAACTCAAAGAAACACCAAGCATGTAGCAAAGCTATACGCTAAGTCAGTTCTCCATCACGCGCACAGCTCCACAGGCTAAAGTTTTCTATACTGATGGCCCCTTCTTAGTTGATGATTTTTCACAATGTATTTCATGGCTTCCATCCCTACATGAGACTTTATTACTATCACATAGGAATAAAAAGCCATAAAGCACTAGAGTGAATTTATCTTGGTCGGATGCAAAACTTATTTTCTTCACATGACTTCACAACCATTTCAAAGCTAGCCAATCATTTCATGCTACATTACGGAACATTTTAAACTACACATAAGTGACAGGAAGCACACTTAAGTTTTGACATCACAAATTAACAAGATTTCATCCTTCAACAACATTCTTAGCTACAAGGACCAGGAAACAAGACCAGGAGACACTCAGCAACACTCAACCATCGAATTCACCAAAAACAAAGGACACTGGGGAGAATTCCTGGAGAAAAGCTCATCACTTTGACATTGAACTTGGAAACACATGAGGAAAGACAGAAGACAGACAAATCACTGAAACCAGGGGGTTTATTTCAAGCCTCTTGTTTCAACTTCTTCCCCAGGAAGCTTTCTTACATGCCCACAGCCAGCTTTTTCATTTTGGAGCAGGTGGGGAGAGGGGAACTTAGCACCTGCACTAAGCCAGCCTTAAGACTTCTACATCTAAATAACAAAAAAGAAAGAAAAAAGAGAGAGAGAGAACTCTACAGCATCCTAAGGGACCACAAGCACTAACGACTCATCTTCAGACCTTCACAGAGGCTGACACCATCCCCCACCCCCATATATGGAAGAAAATATCTAACTCTGCCAGGAACGACACTGTGCACTAAACCCCTCAATGATCTAAATAACTCGGGTCCAGAGCCCAGGAACATTCTTCATGCCGAGTTAAAGTGACCTTGCTTGTGGGATTATCAATACACTTGTGAGTGGCCATACCAAAACCCACTTCTTCAGGACCACTAAAAATTCAATGCCACAGATTCCCATGGATTTCTGGCCTTTCAGAAATAAACTTGGAGTGCCTAATTACCAACTGTTGGAACAAGGTCCCAGACTACTGAGTTCCACTCTTTGCTTTTTAAAAAACATTGTATTATGAAAATTCAAATAAAAGACACAAGGGCTTGAGTTTCTCATTAGGAGTAAGGTCTAGGCAAACAATTTCCGTCTAGAAGTTACTATAATGAAACCTCAGTTTATGTGAATCACAGGGAGGAGACTGGAAATAGTTAAATGAAAGGAAGTGCATACATAAATTCAATTATCATGCATGAAACATGCAAATGATTTAAGCACTACATCTGAAACTCTAGTTTATATTCATTAATCTCAGGTTGCACTTTTGAAGGAGAAAGACATGTTAATTGGGTCCAGATTAATGCACTCCCAAACCTCTCCAATTTGTTTTTAGGTGAGGGTTAAATGATATGTATTAAAATAAACACAGCTGCTCCTCTGCCCCTATATTCCACCTCCCCCACTCCACCTCGACCTCCATTCCCAGCTGGCTCACCTCCCCCACCACACCTCTCCATCCTCTAGGGAAAGAATTAAAAAGCCCTAACGTTTTCCTTTTGCAAATACAATGGGAAAATAACCTTGTCCCTTACTTAGCCTTTTAATACTTTCCCTTTCCCCAGAAGGACCAAGCTCCAGAAAGAGAATCAGTTGCAAATCAAACAGTTGACAATGCCTAACTGTGGTGTCCAGGGTGTGTGCACGTGAGCATACTGGCCAGCATTTCCGGGCAAAGGCCTTCATTCTACAAGTTTGGGCCCGAGTCCTTTGACCAGTAAGTATTGAAGGACAGTTTCAAAGCGTCCTGGCACCTGCTTGCTTGGAGCCAAAGTTGCTGCAGGTTGGCATGGCAATCTTGTGACTCAGTTACTTGGGAAACCAGAGAATGGAGAGAAAACTTGGGGTTTCGGTTGCTGTTCTTCTGTGGCACACTCTGCTAGCAAAAACTAGCATAGAGCAGAGGGCACCCGAAAGGTCTTTCAAAAGATCACCTTGCTTTCCCTCCTCCCTGACGAACGATACTTAAAATAAGCTTTCTTTTCTTTCTCATTTATTGGCGTCATTAGTTTGGGACACAAACAAATAACATGTTCTTGGAAGAATTTTATCTTGTGAATAATGAAACTTTAAAGAGAGTAAAAAGCCTTCAATATTCTTTTCTTGGTTTCTTAGACCTGACTTCTAGAAAAATAAAACAAAGGAAGGGGCACTACAGGCTACTGGAAACAGGCTGGGGCACAGAGGCAGGAAGGAAGGGGTTCTCTCTGGAAGAGCAGCCATCAAGGAGTTAAACCAGGCACCCCCCCACCCCAAACAAAAAAAGAGGCCTTCAAACTAATTTCACACTGCAAGTGATGTTTAATTTGAATTATATTCCTCCCAAAGGTTAAAGGTTAGTCTCATCACTGGGCTTATATCCTCCTCCCCCTTTGCCTTTCACACGCATTGAAAATTCAGATTGACCATTCATCATGACACGACACATTCTTTTTTTCCTGGTCCAAAAATCAAATGAAAGCCTGGGACCACGTCTGAAGACCCATTGGCAGGCCAGTCCTCCCGACCGACGTGCACAACAGAGAGGAGACAAGAACGAGGACACATACATACACAGACGGGAATCACTGGACAGGCACTCACAGTGAAACACACCGATACGTACAGCTATTAACAGTCATTGGCTCAGACAGCCTCTTCTTCGCCTCAACTGATGTTTGCATCTTTGCAAATGTAAAATTAGTCATAGTACATAACAACAAGGACGAGACTGACATTAAATCCGTCAACATCCTGACAGATGCTCTGAGCACTCTTTCGTTAGGAAACACACTTAGGATAGTCATCGTTCCTAAAAGAAAAAATGATTATACTCGAGCCAAACCCTACGTACAAGCTAAAGATATTCACCTCGTGAAGCCATTCCTCAACTAGCCCCTTGGCACTTGCTGGAATTATTCGTAGCATGGGCTCCACTTTCTCATTTTCTGCTGACTCCGTGTGAGTAATTTCTTTCTCATGATTAAAAGTGAGCTTGGCAGATCCTTCAAAGCGTGGCTTTAGGTGTGGTGGGGTTCCGAGAGCATCCTTTGTCTACAGCAGGTTGCCAGTAATTCATCGGTGGACCGGCAGGCCAGAGGAATATTCACACACCTACAATGATTTTTTTAAAAATGCAACCTTTATAGATATCTTTATATAAACGTATTTTTATACTGAAACATGCAGCTGACAGATGAAATGAACTGTTTACCTTGGAAAAGAATAGGCAGGCTTTTCTCTTCCAAATAATCACTCCGGCCTTTCTGAATGTCATCCAAAAGCGATTCTGCCTCCGTCGACTTATCCAGCATCTGAGGCTGTGAGATAACCCTCGTAGCACTGGCCTCCTTCCCTGGCCCCTTCATTATTAGCCTCCTGGTGGGTGAGATAGAATACAGTGAATGTAATAACCGCACTTCACACAACAGGCTCGCTCTCTCTTTTAAATTGAAAATCCCCTTATTACAAAACAAGGGGTGTTCTTTTTCTTCTACCTTTAAGTAGGACTGCCACATTCATTGCTTTTTACAAAAACGCAGCTGCTTTTTAAGCTACAGATAAATAGAATCTGCTAGGCGGTAATTCGACTCAGTCTGAATGCATTATTTTCTAAGACATTTTGGCGAAAGGCTTTTTTATTATAAACTGGAATGAACAAGGAAAGTCCTTTTCTCTTCTAATTATGAATGTGTTTTGTTCCCTACTATTAACCTACAATGTCAGATTGATCTTCTTCCTTTCCTTCTTTTTCTGCAGCCAGTTCAATAAATCAACATTTTTTTTTCATGGAAAATTAGAGGGCTGATGATTAAGTCTTCATGAACTCCAGTAACAAAAATAAAAATAGCACAAGGAAGAAGCAAATACAAATGCTATAACCACAAATACAGACAATGAAGTGACCTCCGGTGTCCAAAGTAATGAATCCTGTTTTGACACAAAAAGTTAAGATAGGGAGAATTTACTTGTTAATTTCCTTGTAATAAAATTAAAGTTTTCCAGCCATTTTCATAAAGTTGATCTTATTCTGTTTATTCAGCTTAAAAAGAAAAACGCATAATAAAACCGTAACAGTTCAAAAAAGAGTGCCCAAACCCCTTGCGTCTGTTTACTTTGTCCGTTAGGTGTGAGAGCTGGCAATCCCACCAGTGGCCCCTCACGTCCCCGAGCGATGCCGTGAAGAAGTACAACAGAAGGGGAAACGCCGCGAGGAAGGGTCTTCGGTCTGAATTTCTGCTCACATCACTTTAATGCCAAAGATAAACACTAAGCAAAATGGTGAGTTCCTAATAATACCAAAAGGCAGTCTAGAGACTCCACTAGTCTAGGCATTGGTTTAATTTTGATCCCAATGTTGATATTTCTGACCATAACATTACAATAGACCCCGGAGGCCATGCTCCATGTCCATATGGATATATTGCCTTGTGAAGGGGAGGAAATCCCACGGGGCGTCAGCGGGGTTCCAATTAAGGAAAAATAAATACTGCTGCAACCCTGACAATAGGTGGAGGTTGTCAGTATATCACAGCCGCACAGGCAGGTGCCCACCACTAAACCTACAGATTGAAAGCCAAAGGCTGCCCTGCCCTTTCCTCAGCTGGGATGGAAAGCAAAGTGTTCAAGATGAACTTGTGTGGCAGACAGTTTCAAAGTGATTTTTTTCTTATTTGTTTATATTACTTTATGTCCAATTAGGCAGACAAGTGGGAATCAAAGGGGCCTTGTGCAAACATAAAGAAAGAACTTTATACCGAGATTGCATGCATATACATTCGAGAGAGAGAGAGTTTGGCATGTTTTCACCTAAAGCCTTTCCTGCAGATCTGTTTGAAATTTTTAAAAGGAGAATATTTATTACAAGTGAGACGCTTCCAGATTTTCTGAACACCCGCTCTAGGAAGAGATACGTCCACAGTGAGTGGTGGTGACGGAGCTTTGGAAATTCTGCCACTGCTCAGATTTGAATCCATTTTCTGTCCTCTGATGTGTCTGGGAACAAACGAGGCCCCATCAGGTGCTGGGCTCGGCATCAGAGACTAAGTGATGCGGTGGCAACACAAGAAGCCCAGTTTACCTTCAATACACAACAGGCCCTTCACTGAGAAACAGATTGGAGTGAATTAAGCGCCACTAGAAGAGTGAAAATGGAATCCTTATGCATCGATCTCTCCGTTGAACTCAGGCATCGATAACAAGCCTGCTCTGACAACGAGGAATGTTTGTTTCTGTAATATTGATATGTGAGGCAAATAGAAGAAAGATATTTTAGGTGTGTATTTGAAGGAATTTAATTTCCTAAATATCCCGATTTACTGAGAACAGACCAGCTGTCAGAGCAGAGGGGGCTTGTGGGGCTGGGTGAAAAAGGTGAAGGGATTAAGGGAAAAAACCTCATAGAGACAGACAACAAACAGTATGATGGTCACCAGAGCAAAAGGGGGTCGGGGAGGAAGAAGAGCGATGGGGGCTTAATGGTGATGGAAGGAGACGTGACTTGGGCTGGTGAATGCACAATACAATGTACAGATGATGTGTTACAGAACTGTACACCTGAAACCTATATAATTGTATTAACCAATGCCACCCCAGTAAAGTAAATTAAAATGTAAAAAAAAAAAAAGAGAGAGATAGGTTTTACTGGCGTCCAACAAAAAAACCTTTGAACTCCGGCTTTCCTCAGTCCATCTTTTACCCTGGTAAATCACTAACAGACAAAAGACAACATGTAATCTTCTGCCACCTGTACTATTATTTTAAGGTAATAAAAGTTAGCTTATATACAGTGGTGGGCAAAAGTAGGTTTGTGGTTTTGAGTGTGCAACACACATTGTTTATTCTTGTATTATTGTTTACTAATTAGTTTTCCTACTAACAACTGTAAACCTACCTTTACTCACCTCTGTAGTGGTAACATAAGCTTACCAACCAAAACTCTTGACCCTTATTAAACTTTGGAAGTAATTAAGTCACTCTACAGAAAGCTACTCTACGGTGATAGAGAAGAGTGGCTGTCCCTCTAAAGAAGACACAGGGGATCAGCGCTTTGACAACTTGGCCTGAATTCATTTTCTCCTTCAAAGAAGGAGGAGAAGCAGTGTAAGAATAAAAGAAGAGGTGATGGAGGAGGAGAAAAGGGAGGTGGATGTGTCGAAAACCCACTGAGTACAGCAAACAAGTGTTCTTCCTTTCCAGGTGAAAATAATTCTCTTCACATCGTATCCCTGCCACTTACAAGCAAACTCAGTTTTAACCACTCTAAGCCTCACTCTGAAGGAGAGGGTGCCTGTCTTAACAGGATTCGATGACAATTAAGTCAGGCTACTGTGAGTTTTCTACGATACCCCGGTAAACAGCAATTGTATCCAAGGAGGAACCTTCATGTGGACATCGCACACCTGCACTAACAACCTAACAGGTGTACTGTTGCTCCATTTGAGGAAAACCAGGCAGGTGAGAAAAACATTATTCTGCATTGCAAATACTGGGGAGATCTGATGAGGCACCAACACCTTCTCCGTACTGGAAAAAAGAAAGAATGTTAGCTAACCATATCCAGGTTCTCAGAAGACATCACTGGTGCTGTCACTCTATGGTTAAGAGGAACTGAATTTTCAATCGTGAAAAAGAGCAACTTCAAGAAACACTCATATCCATAAACACACTTTCTGTGCATCCTTTGAACTTCCATCAATACCACTGTTTTGTTTTTAAAAATGAAAAAGATAAACTGTGTTATCAATATATTTTTCAGCATAAGTATACAGCCATCCTCAATATCCAGAAAGAATTGGTTCCAGAACCCCTCCCCCAACACGCACACACATGAATACCAAAACCCACGATGTTCAAGACCCTTATATTAAATAGCGTAGTATTTGCATGTAACTTAGACACATCCTCCTGTTTGCCTTTATTACTTATATTACCTAATAAAATGCAACTACTACTGTGTAAGTAGTTGTTATGGTGTATTGTTTAGGGAATAATGACGAGGAAAAAAGTCTGCACATCTTCAGTACAGATGCAACCATCATGAGCCTAAATACATAACACAGGTCAGCAACGACATAACCTTTCCTTTCCAAATATTTTTGATAATGTGGTTTGTCAAATTCACGGGTGAGGGACTGTGGGTATGGAGAACCAATGGTACAGCTTCTTTTAAAAAAAGAAACACACTGCTGTACATTTTTAAAAGTCTGCTTTTCATGTTTTTCCTTCTAAATTTATTTTCTGAATTGGGTTGTTTGAAACTATCTCACTCTTACAAAGCCAAATCTCTACGATGATCAAGCTTGACAAGTATCGTAGGAGCACACACAAACTCTTCAAAGAGCAACTTCAAAAAGATGTCCTCCTCCTGGTAGCTGTTTGCCCAGGAAGGCAGAGGCCCTGGAAAGAGGCTCCAAGCTCCACTGGCCACAGGAACTTCCAGCCAAGAATCTAATCACTGCTGCAGGACACAGCACAAAGGCAATGAATGGGAGCCCCAGAACAGTGTGTTGAATGTGGTGTGTCCTACAAATGAGGAAACACAGACATCTCCCCAGAATCACATTCAGCATGGGGATGCTCTAAATATGAAAAGCAAGAAAAGCTTTTTAGCTCCTCGCCAAGGCTTCCTGACATCCAGCACTTTGTGAGGTCAAGAAATGTGTCCTCAGCTTCTGTTTTCTGTTCCCCTTCAGAGGACACGGTGAAGAATGGAGCTGCCCAGCTGCCTGTTAGCTTGCCACACTTGGCTGACTCCTGTCCTCACTGGGGGAGTGTGTCCGTTGCATTTGAGCCGCACAGAAGGAAAACCAAAATCAATTTAACATGAAGTACATTCACGTATTTTTGCCTCTTTAACATTCTCCAAAGTGCCCATGGTATAGTGAAGTTGAAAGAGTTTTATATAACGAAGACTATTGAGGCATAAATCACATCGGTAAAAGCTGGGATGTAGGAAGGGGTGCAATCTAAAAGCTAATTAAATTCAATAAGGGCTCTCCAAAGACAATATGCCCACTGACCTTCCTATGGTAATATTTTTTTAGATGGGACAAATGGTAAGGGGTTGTAGATTCCACAGTACGATCCTTTAGTGAATCCTAAGGAGGAAAAAAAAAGATTAGATGTATGGATTTCTGTGCTGAATGGATGCCAGAGCCAAGATGCAAAGAATAGATAAGCTTGAGATTTGGAGGAACTAAATTTGAAGCCAGCCAGTAAAACGGATTGAACCTTATTACCTCTAGTCACTGAGAAATTCCCGAGACAGTTGGATGCAATTTGAAAAGGTCAGAAAAATATTTCCTGCGCAGCATTACTGCTTCATGGTTTAAGGGTGCGCATTTGTGAGATGCCAGCTCTAATCATTTTTATTGACTTTGCTTTCCAGAGACAGACAGACAGTCTGGGAGGCAAGACCAGTAGATAAGAGAAAGGCAATCTTATAAACGAAAATCTCTCTTATTTTTGTTCTCTTTTTCACTTGTGACCGTGAAAAATCCCGAGGCTGGCCCATTGGAGGAGAAGCTACAGCAACTTCACTGAAGAATGATAGAACGGAAATGAAACAGAGGGAAGCATCCCTCTAATGCTAATAATGCTATTTCCTCTTTATTGCTATTAATTTAGCCTCAACTATATGCCAGACCTTGTGAAAGGTAAATGATGCTACACCTTAACCTAAGTGTGACTGTTTAAAATGAAACACCATCAAATTCACCTGGGTATAGATATTCATTTAATAGATGTTGTCAGCATTTCCTCCAAGGGATGGCTCCCTAACAGAGAGAAAATCCACAGGAAAGGGTAAAAATGAAATAAAACATAATTATATACGCAAGATAGTGTCTTAGTGAAAGCTCCATTATGATTAGAACTATTCCAAATACAAATTTTTTTTTCTTTTCACTGTGACTTATACATAGTAAGAACCTTTGTTACATTTGTGGATCTTTTTTTTTTTTTTGGCATGCAATTAAGAGTCAAAGCTGACTTTTCTATACAGAATGGCATGACCCATTCTAACCCTGCAAAGGTTTAATTAACACCTGGCTTTTCTGTCTTTGAGGAGCCAGGAGTTTTGGAGGCAAACACAAGCCTATTCTTCTCTTGTTTAGCAGCAAGGCTGAAACTTTTTAATGGCCTCAAGATCCAACTGTAGGCTCTCATGAGATGTTCTGACTTCATCAAGATGGCCTGGCCATTTACTAAGGCTTTTCAAGCAGCAAGATGGCTTTTTCTATAGAAAGCCTAATTTCTAAGCAATCCCACACTTCACGAAATACAGGACTTTCAAATTTCACCCTGTAATTAACAAGGCCACCACGAGGCAACACAATAGCTAATTAGAAAATAGCTTTGATAATATCAGGTATCCAAAAGACAAGTGAAAAAGCCAGCACATTAGATGGACATCTGAATTCTTGAAAGTGAGGGTAAAAATATCTTGTAGGTGACTTTCGTCTATGTTGAATATTTGGTATTGATTAGATACAAGTAAAACATGGTGGGTTTTATGATTTTTCATTGTGTATGGCAGCTTACATTTAAAAGAACAAAAAAAGGTGTTTAGTATCTTTGTGATGGTGCAGAAACTTCAGTGAATCCCACTGAAAACTCCCGCTTTTTGGCATTTTTCTTTCATGGCCCTGTGTTTCTAGCAGAAAGAATACCTGATGTGTTGCTTTTTGATTTCTAAGTTCTCTGCAGGAAAAATCAATTCGAACCTTTCACACAACCATTAATGTGGTTAATAATGATGATAACCCTAGAAGTACTATTATGAGTAAAGATCGTGATAATGGAACCAGTGACCATTAGTTGAGCATTTACTAGGTGTGGGCACCATGCAAATGTAGCACATCATTTAATCCTCACAGCCAAGCTGAATGAAGCAAATGGAACTTTTTAGTTCCCATAACGACATGGAGGCTAAGGAACTCATCTAGGTCAGAACACTGTTAGGTAGTTATGTGAGACTCAGATCCCGGCTTCTCTGAATCTAGTCCCCATTATTTTAAAGCCACGTGCCTTCGACAAAATTCATGGTCAGTGTGAGGCCCGGGGGTGCTACTCCTCTCAGGGCACACAGCATTTCTGGAGTCGTGTTGAAACAAATCTCACGACTCGTACAGCCCGAGTCCTGCACACCAAGCGTTTGCAGGTCCTCCACCACAAGCAGCCACCTCTGGAGCTCTGGGCTAACAGTGCTTCGCAGATAGTATTTCCTGTCCTCGTGGAATTTAGTGCATGAAGAGAATAATATATTCACAGCAGCCTCGTTAATCAGATTGCATGGTTCACCTACACCTAATAAATTTGGATCTAATTGTACGCAAATTGCTTTTCTATTTGAATTATCTTTAAATTATGTTCAGAGAAGAGCAAGAAGAGAAAGTTTCTTCTTAGCTGGGATTGCCTTCAGATTGGCTGCTCAACAGTCAGTGAATCCTCCAAACACAACTTTTAAAGGGAAAATATGTAGCTATTTTGTTATTGTCACAGGCAAGTAAGTAGAATGGAAAGAAAACAATGTTGGGTTACAACACATAAACTGTTAGAGATCTTTTATTTCAATAGCATATACCAAACATAGCCAGGTTCCAACAAAATGTTATTTTACGCTTAATTGACAGTCCTGTATTCTAACCGATTTACCAAATGTACCCCTGGCGGAAATGCTCCCTGTCTGAAGAGAGGCGATGCCTGACAGTGTTGGAACTGCTGGTCGCCAGCTCCAGCACGCCTTGTCCAGGAACCTGTCTACACTGGGGTAGTTTTCTTTTCAGGCCCCCTTTCAGGAGACCATTCTTCTAGCCCCGAATGCGAACTCTCCTAGTGTCGAAGCTGCCTTGGCGCTCAAGAGGCACTAAAATGAGATAAGAGGGGAAGTAGCAGCAGCTGGGCTGCACTTCTTGTAGAGTGAAGCACTGTTGAGGTCTAAAAGTGGGAGCACTTCAAAAATAGGAACGGAATTAGGTGCAGCTACTAAAAGATGGAGAGAGGAACAGGTAAGGAGGAGGACAGAACCCACAATGAACTTAGGTCTGGAATGTGAATCCCCCACTGCTTCTGGTTCCTGGATTTTCTTAAGCAGGACAAAGAACAATACGGAGGAGTGTGAAATAGGGGTCTTTTTCTGCACCCCTGATATGTGTGGGAACAAAAGGAGTCCAATGTTGAACTGAGGGAGAAATGTAAAAAACCTTCCAAAGTGGTCTAAGTTCTGATATCTCATGTCAAGGAATCCGTTTTTAGTCTTAGTTATCTTCAAAAGAAGATGGCTGAAAAAATATTTTTAAGGCAGGTTAATTGGCTAACGTCTACATTTTTTTCTTTTTTAAATTGCAATCTGCTCTCAAAACAAATTACAACCTCATAAAAATTTTTCTCCGTAATAAAAAAGCTGGAAGAAAACATCAAGCAAACTCATTATATGAAGTTCTTTTTCTTTTTTTTCTTCACCTGACTTTTTCCTGTAAGCAGAGAATCAGCTTCAGGCATTAATATTATTAGAATTAAGTTTCTAGAAATGATGCTAAGAAACAATGACATACAATTAAAACATAGTATTTATAGCAATAGAAGCAATTAACACACCTCAGAAGCTGTGGAGAATGAAAATAGCCTTTCCTCTCTCCTCTCTGGATCCAACATTGAAATTGAGCGATTTCTAAAAACCTATTATTAGATTATTATTTTAATTATTCTTCCAACATTTCAGGGTCACAATGTTAAATGCTTTGTGTACCTGCTTAAGAGGATTTTGGGTAGCACGAGAACCCAAATGCTACCCTAGTCCATTTTCCTTGAATTATAGGAATCTCCAGAGCATATTCTTTCTTACATGGGAAGAGAGTGCGGCTTCAATTTTTCTGTATAATTTCCAAAATCAAATTTAAAAGTTTTCATGAGAGATGATCCTCCCTGGTGGGTGATATGATGCATACCCTGAGGGGAAACATGAAAATAATTAGCATAACCATATTAGCATATAGATGCCTTTGAAATAATAAACAGCAGAAAACCAAAATGCTTTTATCCCCAAAAGAAAGTTATGAGAAAATATAAAATTAATGTTCACTTCTCCCTGGCCTGAAAGCCACGCAGAATATTCTCCTTTAGTGAGGGGTGGGATGGCCAGGGAGATGGGAAGATGAGCCCCAAACCAACTTTCTGTTGCTCAGGACCACAAGACCAACATTCTCTATTCACCCTTTACCCCCAGCCACCCTGTTCTCTTTTAAACAGGAAAAGGCCAAAGACAAGCAAGTGTTTTCCTTTTAACTCCTCTAAAAGCCAACACCAAATAAACAGATCTAATATCCTCTTTTTCTTTTTCTTTTCCTTCCTTGAGCTAACTTTCTATCTTTCCCTGGGTAGCAAGAGAAGTGCTGGGCTTGGTCATTCAGTTACCAAGAGGATGGAGGAGCCCCAGGTGAAAAGTGCGCTTAGCATTTGTTAACAATGGACCCTGAACAGCACAGATTCTTTTCATATTTCCAACGGGTGCCGCCTCTCATGATAGCGAGCTGGCATGTGGTGGTGTGATTGGAAGAATCAGGTCTTTGGAGTTGAGCCTCATTTAAAAATCTGCTCTGGGTAACCTTGGCAAAGTCCACGACACATTGTTCCATTTTTTCTCTTCTACAAAATAGTGATAGTGTGGTCTACTTTTCCGGGTTGTTGTGACAATTAGAGGTTATAGATATAAACCACCTGGAATATGGTGGGTGCTCAATAAAGGTGATTCTGGCATTTGGTAAGACTACTTTCTACCCTACTAATATGGATGAATATATGCCCAGAGACATTTATTAAGAACATATACCACAAAATACGATGTTTTCTTCTGGATCCATGGTGGTATGAGATTATGAAGGTGGTAATATAAATCGTACTGGAAATAATAAAGTAAAAAATATAAAGTTCCTTATGGACATATTTTGTCTCATGACACCAAGAGCAGGGGTTAAATTGCAAATCTGGGGCCACAGACAAAAACCCATGAATATTTTATGTGGTTCAAAAGAAGTAAGGATTTTGCCAAACACACCTTAAATTAGCTGACACAAGTGAATTTCCTGAATGAGCCCGACGTTAAAATGTCAAAACACAGTCAGTGTCTCGATACCTAGACACCATCTACATTATTTTAGATCTTTTAATATTTAGTTATTTTTACCGGCTGTCTATACAGCATTTAAAACACTAAGACTGGGTTCTTTGCCAATGGTACTACTTGGTTCTCTCTAGTTCTTTTCAACTTTGAACTTTTGTTTGGTGCTAATTAGTTCCTTATCAAACATGGCATGTTTGGGATTATGACATCATTCTCTTTCTGTGGAGCACAGGCCTTGAATCTGTCCTTTAGCATCTAATACCTACTTTTATGTCAACAATGACCTGACCGGCAAATAATACCCATCAATTTCTGGAATGTTTATATTGCCTCATCAGTACCTAGCATACTGAGGACAGAGTTATCAGATTGGAATGGGATGGGGACTAAGAAAGAAAACCCCTCACACATCAGTTCTCTGAACAAATATGCTACTTAACTGAGTTTGTAATGAGCATGTTACTGAGAAAGTTTTGGCTGCTTTGCATGAACACAAAATATTTATCTAATGTTTCCCCTTTTCTGTTAAAACTTAAATCAGTAACCATAGATCTGGAGGCAGACATCATTCGCACATCCTTCCTGCTGAATGTCCTTTGATCCTCATCTGTTTTCTCTGCTAGGACTGACAGGGGTCTAGTTCATTACACACTTGAACTAGAGGCCAGTTTTGTTCTGTTTTTCTAAAGTTTAGAAAGATACACACCAGTAAATAAAAACCAAAGCTAGGTTTCTTTGGATTGTGGGATTTGAAAGTATTTTGACTGTCTGCATGCCTCCTGAGAACAGTTCTTTCTGGCCATGCCAGGAAAGGGCTAGTTTCACAAATCAAATAAATATAGGGTCTGGCACACACAAAAAAGCCTCCTTTTTATTACAAAATCATAAGCATGGAATTCCGTAACATAACAATATCACACCCAAGCACATCTTATGACATTTTAGGTGAAATGTTCAAATTAAAACTATAAATGACTACACCCCTATTATCACCCTACCAACCACACTCGAGCAGGTGCTACTTTTGCCGGACCCTGTACACATGTGCAGAAAAGATATGTGTACACAAGGCTCTACTGGCCACATGATAGATAAGGTGAAACATGTTCCCTTCTGCAATCCAAAAAGGATTCAAGGCTCTAACAATTCATTCCCATAAGGATAGCCTGACTTCTTACAGGGTCTCGTTCTAATGCTAATGATGCTCAGATGTTTTCAGAGTTTAAAATTATCCCAAGTGAATAGCCAGGCATTGCAGGCAGCCTGTCTTTCTGAAATCTCTAAAATCTTTTTTCTGTTTTATTGATGTTTGCAATCATTCTTACCAAAGTTTCTGTTTTCAGTTCTTGAAGTCTGTTAGAGCTTGATAAAAATAAAAATAAACAATTTAGGTCAACCTCCATTGCTTATTTTCAAAATTCGAGTAGTGGAATTTTTTAATAGGGTTAATAACAGTATTACTTCATAGAGGTTTTTTTTTAAAAGAAAAAACATGTTATTTATTTTTAGAGAGAGGGAAGGGATGGAGTAAGAGGAGAGAAACATCAATGTGTGGTTGTCTTTTGCACGCCCCCTACTGGGGACCTGGCCCACAACCCAGGCACATGCCCTGACTGGGAATCGAACCAGTGACCCCTTGTTTTGCAGGCTGGCACTCAATCCACTGAGCCACACCAGCCAGAGCAGGTGATAGAATTTTTGTTAATTTGTTTTATATATGGTCAAAATACATTTTTCTTTACTTCCACTGCCACAAAATAGTCGAAGTCACAAAAATTTACTCTGACACTAACATTACCTTGATTAAAAACAGACATGAGACAGTAAATCTTCTTAACACACACACATACACATTTTTCATATATTCTCAATGATTAAGAAAATAAGCTAGCAAATACAGCAATGTTCATCTACCCAAGATATAAGCTCTTCAAGGATGAAGATGAAGATGAGATTCAAATTTGGGATCTATAATGTGATGTAGACTGAAGTTTTACCATCCCCAAATTTGCTTTTTGAGATATTGATTTTAAACTGGTTATTAAGAAACAAAAGACTCCAAAAGAATCTTGAAAACTTCCCTCCTGAAAACCTGCCTAAAGACTTCAGATAGAAAAACCTGCTTAAAGGAAGGAAGCATCACCTTAGCCTCAAAATATAAACTGAATATGGCAGACAGGAAGAAATCCAGCCAAGGCTATTGCACCCCCCTCTGTGTCCCATTGTTTCTGGGGGGCCAGCAAGAATTCCTTCACCACCTGTTTGCACTTTCTCATCTACGTGTGAATTGCCTGTTTTCCTTTTGAAATCCCAGATCTTACCTCCCTCTCCTTTATTCAGAATGGCATATAAATCTCAACTGCCCAATGTGTCTTCTGGTCTCACCTCTATGGCACCCTGCATGTACATCCGTAATAAATTCTGTTTGTTTTCTCCTATTATCTTTCTCATGCTGATATGATTATTAACTCAGCCATAAAAACTTAGAAAGGTGGCAAGAAAGTTATTTTCTTGACCCTCCAAAGATGGAAAAGTAACAACGGTTAGTTGATAATAATGATGGAGGCACATCTCTTTAGTTTTACATATATCATCATTCTCTTCCATCTCCCACTTCCTCTTGTGCCTGCAATGAGTAAGCACTTAGCATCGCACCCACAGATAAATCTTTCCTGTTATCTGGAATGTTTTGCCACCTGGTGATCTGTTGTTTAAACAAGAAACTGGCATATTCCCATTTCTCATCCTATCCAATGACACAAATAATTTGTAAAACCCACCCATCTCTTCTTCAGCTCTAAAACTCTCAAGATATGTGAGTATTTCTGTGAAATCACAGTGACATTGCAGTACTAGAACCATTAATGAGCAGAAGAAGGCTCATCCTTTGTCCATCCTTAAAATTTTTTTCCTCATCTCATTCCATGATCTGAGTAACCAAGATGTTCTTCATTAGGTAAATGAAGGAATAAACTATGGTACATCTAGACAGTGGAATATTATTCTGTGTTAAAAAGAAATGAGCTATCAAGCCATGAAAAGACACAGGAGAATCTCAAAGAGACACTCCTAAGAGAAAGAAGCTAATCTGAAAGGTCAACATACTGTTCAATTCCAACTATATGACATTCTGGAAAAGGCAAAACTATGGACACAGAAAAAAGATGCAGTGCTTGCTGGCGGTGGCTGGCAGGGAAGAAATGAATAGGCAGAGCACAAGGATTTGGGGGCAGTAAAACTGTTCTGTGTGATATTCTCATGGTGGATATATGTCGTACATTTGTCCAAACCCACAGAATGTACAACAGCAAGAGTGAAACCTAAAGTAAATCATTGACTATGGGTGATTATGATGTGGCAATCTAGGTTCATCTTTTGTAACAAATGTACCATTATGGTGAGTGATGCTGATAATGGGAATGGCTATGCATGTGTGAGGGCAGGGGGATATATGGGAAAATCTCTACCTCCCTCTCAATTTTGTTATAAATCTAAAGCTGCTCTAAAAAACATCATAACCTGCTCTTTTCTGGCCTTGGAATATTAAAATCCTGATGAAAAAGCAATTATTCCCAGCCTCGTACCCTGGTTTACCTACTTGCCTTTCTGCCTGCTTGAAGAGTTGGATGTCAGTGTCTGTGAACACTTTCCAAAGTCAGTAACTAGAGGGTACAGGGGAACAGACACAGGGGAGAATGTCTACTTTCGTTAAGGTCAAGTCCAATAACTCATTATTTCAAAAAATCTTTCCCAAAATTTGGGCTCTGAAGGTGGGGCATGCCTGCAGGTGTTATTAAAAATTCTCTGCTGTGCTGGTAATTGCACAAAT